TATTGTCCTTGATGCTCTAAGCTAGTTGGAGTTCAGTTGCAGCCTTGGCTTTCCTGGTTTGCTCCCTGCAGGACCGGACCAGTGCAGAATATTCCTCCTTGGTGGTGAATCCCATCCTCCATCTTTTGTAGGCCTTTCTTTTTAGCCTCCGGAGATATGCTAGATCCCTGGAGAGCCAGGGGGCCTGCTGTGCTCTCCTGCTGCCTTTCCTCTGAGATGGAATCAAATTAACTTACGCTTTTGAGGATCGCTCCCTTGAGGATCAACCACTCTTCCTGGACTCCCCTCTCCCTGGGGTCATGGTCCCTTAGGGCCTTACTGACAAGCTTCCTGAGCTTGTCAAAGTTGGCTTTCCTGAAGTCAAGGACTTCTGTGTTGCTGACTGACTTGCCAGCTTTACGACGGATGGTGAAGGTGATCAGCTGGTGGTCACTGTCACCCAGCTTCCCATCGATCACTAGGTTGCTGATTTTAGGTCATCCCCGGTAGCCAGTACCATGTTGAGCAGCGTTTTACCTCTCGTTGGCCCATAGACTTTTTGAGTCGGGTAGAGGTCATCCACGCACAAGAAGAAGCTTTGCGACCGCTCAGGTTTTGCTGGATGATCCTCCCATGAGATGTTCGGGTAATTGAAGTCACCCATGACGACTGTGGTCCTGGAGCATGTGGCCTCAACCAGTTTCCAGGCGTACTCCTGGTCAAGCTCTTGACTTTGGGTGGGAGGTCTGTAGTAGACCTGTGCCATGTTCCCCACGGATTTTAACCCAGATGATCTCCAGTCGTCCACCCTGGTCACCAACATCAGCTTGCAGGGACACATAGTTTTCCTTAACATAGAGATACACCCCCACGCCTCTTATCTACTCGATCTCTCCTGTACAAGGTATAGCCATCTATACCCATGGTCCAGTCATGGGTAGAGTCACACCAGGTCTCCATTATCCCTATGACATTGTAATTATTTGTGTTAAGCAGGAGGACGAGTTTTTCCTGCTTATTCCACAAGCTCCTGGCATTTGTGTACAGGCAGGCAAGGACTCCTGTGGTTACAATGGATCTAAGGAGGAGGAAGTGCTCACCACTCTTTATCCCTTTGGCATGGGGCAAAGACATTTGAGGGGTGGTGAGTTGTAGGGAGAGCACAAACTGTGTATAGCTAAGGCAGAAAGTTGGATCAAAGACTCAAGTTGTGAGATGCCCACAAGTGAGAGAGCATCATCAGTCACTAATAAGTAACTTAATTTTCTTCTTTAAGATAAAAAGAAAAAAAAATACCCATTTGTAATAGAGACTCAGAAATACAGTAGTGAAATATTTTTGTGAAACTTCACAATTTTTTGTGAATAAATATAGTACTCAAAATGAGTGTGACTGAAGCCTCCACACAGCTGCCAAAGCACCTTGTTTCTGGCCTGCTCTTGCTCCAGTCCTTTTCAATACAGCATTTCTTGCATGTTTTTTTGGAAGTATCTGGCACCAGGCACAGTGATGGACAAACTTTCAGATGAGATTGTTTTGATCATGAAGCTTGGCCATTTTTGCTTTTGAAGGTGGAAAAACGTGTACAGTTGAATTGTGTTGTTTCCTAGGGCTGCTTGTACATGCCACGGGGGTTTAAATCAGTTCAGTCCTCCCTAAATTGAAACAGTGGGTTTTTAAAAACACCGCTTCAATATAGGGAGAATTAAACTGAACTAAACCCCCGTGGCATGTACACAAGGGTGGGGGCCCAATCCTTACCTGCCTGTTTGGCTGGGGGGGAGGTAGGGAGCTGCTGGTGGGCCAAACAGTCCCTGAGCTGCATAGGGGCTCCCTAGGTGGCACCCGCACAGCTCAGGCAGGCTCCAGAGAGAGGGAGAAAAAAAAGATCAGGCTTGTCACTTTTTTTTCTTCTTCAGTGGAGCCTGCCTGCACGGGCTGCCACTGGGTCCCACAGCCCCTGAGCTGTGTGGGGCCTGCCAAACCCCAAGCACATTGGCTTCCAGTGCCCTGTGCACTGTTCCACTTCGTTAGGTAGCAAATTAAAACACGTTGGAGGTATTCTATCTTTCTACATACCAAAGTCATTTATAATGGAGTACGCCGCCAAATATGCAAACGGTAATACCATTTTTTTGCAATAATGCAAAAGAACATTTAAGACACTTTAAAGGCCCATTTTGTGGCATGTACAAAGGCCCTAGAAGACCAGATTTGAAGAGTATGTTTGGAAATGTCATGCAGTGGGCTGAGAGATCCTCTATTAATACTAATAGTTCCTGTTTGGGCTTCCAGGCGTGCCACTTGTAGAGTTCTCCATGCTGGATTCCCCTGAAAATGCTTTAGTTGTTACTTTGGTACTGCTGTCCAAACAAATGGAAATGAAAGTTCTGGAGGAATTTGGGTTTCAGATCCATCTGCATTACACCATTGCATTTGGTATAATTGTTTGGGTTTTTTTCACTGTACTTAATTGTTAGCCCAATATTTTACACTCATTTTGTAAATTTCTTTGCAGACAATGTTAATGGACCAATCCCGTTTTCAGGAAATGCAGCTGGAGCTGGAACAGCTCATCTTGATTGGAGCTGTCCTCCTGGTCACATTCAATGCAGCAGGCACAGCACTCTCTGGTCTGCCAGGATTTGCTGACAAAATTAAAACTATTATAAAGGTGCTGCTGGCAGGCATGCACCTTCCGTGAGTATCTGAATTGCTTATAGAATTGTAGAAAAGTAGGGCTGGAAGGGACCTCAGAAGGTCACCTAGTTAACCCCCCTATTCAAGTCATCTAGTTCATGTTAGTCAAGTGCCTGTTTAATCTGCTCTTAAAAACTTCCAAGGATATAGATTCTACCACCTCTGTAGGTAGCCTGTTCCAGTGTTTTAACCACTGTCATAGTGAGCCCCTTCTTCCTGATATCTAACCCGAATTTCACTTGCTGCAATTTAAGACCATTAGTCCTTGTCTTGTCTTGTCCCCTGCCATAGTCTGTCTCTCTCTTCCATATAACCATACTTTGAGTCACTGAAATCTGTTATCGATCTCGCCCCCTCTCCCCCCCCCCCCCCCCCCCCCCCCCC